GGGTGGCCTGGCCCACAATGCAGGCAAGAAAGCCAGTCAGTGAAAATGGAAATGGAGGCATCAGTGGGGGAGGGACAGGCTGGGGTGGGGGAGAAGGAGGAAAAGGGGATGTAGCAATGCAGGTAAAAGTGCAGAGGTGCCTGGGGTGTCGGATGTCTGGCAGGTCACAGCGTGCCAGAACTCCACTGTGTATATTGAGTCCATGAGTTTCTGTACCTACTACCTAGGAGGCTGATGAAGTGCAGTTCATAGGCCCGGCTGTGAAAAGTGGTTTGCTTTGTAATTTGTTCCATCTCAGGATCAGGCCTGAGAGACTGGAGGCAGAGTGTTTTTTTGGTGAGGAATGTGCCCCCACAGGTAGTTGGGTTTTGTTGTTTTTGAGATTCTGGTGTGCAGTTTGTGGCAGGGGGTACTAGAGATAGTTGGCAGGTTTTGTGTTTTGAGCTGTAAGAAGTTGGCTTCAGTTCTGGTGATGAGGTTAGGTACTTGTTTGAATGTACAAACTACTTTTCAGAGCTGGGCCTATGAACTGCACATCATCAGCCTCCTAGGTAGTAGCCAAAGACTTCAGCAGTCTTTTGGCAGTGAGGGGCTTTGGTGACATTGCATAGGTGGGCAGCTTACCTCATGCCCCCCCCCCCCCCATGGCTAAGGAGCAGTAAGCAGTGATGGTGACAGTAGCAGTGGCTAGGTCAGAAGTGCTGGCCCACCTTAGATAAGTTGGGTTGTTTTATCCCACCACCAGAAAACATTGGTGAACACTCGTGTCATCACAACTGCCCTCTTATCCCAGAGCTATGCCCTACCAGGGCCCCAGTGTCAGACACTCTAGCTCACATTCTGCCCAGTGATCTCTAGAGCCCTTGTTCTCATGGGGGACTTCAATCACCCTGATTGCTAGGAGGGCAATCCAGCAGTGCACAGGCAATCTAGGAAGATTTCAGAGAGTACTGGGGACAACTTCTTGGTGCATGTGGAGGCCATGCTCTTCTTGATCTGCTCACAAACGGGGAAAAATTGGTGGGGAATGTAATAGTGCATGGCAACTTGGGCAGCAGTGACCACAGGATGACTGAGTTCAGGATCCTGAGGATCCCAACACACTAACACAAATGTGCCCTCAGGCTTTGGTCTTGGACTCATGTCCAATGTTTTGGAGAAGCCTTGACAATCCCAGCTGTGGTGAAGAGGTAGGCAAGGCACTTAGTAGGTGTTGGGTGCTTGAGCCTGGGAGCCTGTCGCTGGCTGTGGTGTGAAGCATGGGCCGGGGGGTGTATGACAGGCATAAGGATCCAGCGTCATGCTGGTGTTGCCCTGTGGGGTCAGGCCAGTGCTCAGGATCTCAACATTGCGCTGTTAGATAGGAAGGCATGGTGTACTATTGCACATACACACATACAAACATCAATTAGGCGCACACACACACACTAGGTGCATACACCCCCACCAGGTATGCACACACACACTACCAACTCAGGCACATACACATCCCAAATTACCAGGCTAGGCACACACACACCTATCACCAATAGAGCACCTATACACCCAAAAAGTTAGACAAAAATCTATTGTCAATACCCGCACACTCAGTACACCTACCTCACACAAAAACCACCCAACTACACATACACACAGGTGAGTATTTAACTTGAATGGTACAGTATGTATGTGCGTGTTTGGTATACTTGGGATACCTGTGGGAAGGTTAAGGTGAGAAAGAAAGTGTAAAGAGGGAAAGTTGCTAGAATCAGGATTAGAAACCCGTAAACTACAGAGAAGCTGGCTAGGAGCTGAGGCTTGGGGTTACTTAAGGTCAAGTGGCCCCAGGGTTACGCAGGCTCACCTGATGCCAGGGTGGAACCAAGGAAAAAAGCCCGGTGGCAAGGAGAAAACAGCCAGGAGATAGAGGCAGAAAATTGGGAGATCAGGGGAAAAGGCAATGGGGATGAGGCAATGGCAAAGAAACGGGAGTTTGCAGGCAGAGAGGAGCTCAGGACGGCTGGAGCCACAGGAGCAAGGGGTTTAGGAGCCTGTAGAAGGACATTAAGACCTAGAGGATTCTCAGAATCTGCCTATGGGCGAGTTATTGTCTAGGCAAATCCGTCCGCCCTGGTGAGTCGGATCAGCCGCTGGGGACCCGACCCCCCCCCCCCCCCCCCCCGCGGGGGGTCGCCCCCCAGGCAGTGAGATTGGCCCCCCAGCAAACCCCTCTGCTGGTCGCTGACTGGGGGAGGGGGGGGGGAGCATGTACCCCCCGACTCAAGAGGCACTAGTCACCCATGATGCACTTAATTGTACAGTCACTAGACTAAGCTCCAGCAGCCTGGGGGTGGGTGTCTTGAGTTGCTCAGGAGGTCCCTGCTCTGGGGCGCAGTGACAGCTTGTTGCATAAGAACTGAGAGAGATATACTCCAGAAATATAAACATGTAATGTATTTGAATGCAGCTCTTCTTGCGGGGAAAGAGGTTCCCAGGGCCTGAGAATTAAATGCAGAGAGTTCACAAAGTTATCTGGGAAACTGGTTTTTGGGGTACTAAACATTTGGCCTTTAACTGGGTAAATGAGGGAAATGGGTGAAAAAAACAGCATAAAAATTCTTCCTTTCCTCGCGTTCCCAGTTGTTCCTTTGTAGTTGGTTCTTAATGGTTGTTGTTTGCCAGTGATTTGGGCTAGCAGGCTGGTTGGGCAGTGCAGTGGACCTGAGCCTGTCCCCAGAGCTTCAGTGGAAGAGGGTGCTGGTAGCAGGGAAGCTGCAGGGGCTGGGCCGTGGGAGAAGGAGCTGGGGCTAGAGGTGACCCAGGGGGCTGGCATGACCTAAGCTGAGGCAGGAGGGTCAGGGGTAGGGGTTGGACTCCATATTGGGAATAGTGGGGTGTTTGTGGGATGCAGATCTCTCCCCACCGACTTCAAGAGGCCTCCCCCCGCCCTCAACCTGTCTCTGGGGCACCTGGTACTGGGCACCAGGGGCCATGACTCTACCCCTGCTGCCACCCCCGCACCTGCCCCAAGCATTCGTCTGGGAGCAGGGCCAGGAGGAGCAGAGCCCAGACCAGGGTGGTCCTGGAGCTGCAGGAGGGGAGCCCAGAGCCCAGAAGGGAAGCTGAGCTCCTGGGGGCAGTGGGCCTGAGCACCCCAAGGCAGGGCCTTGAGCAGGATCTTACTGAGCTTTGCATAGCACCAGAGCCTGGCTTGGGGAGGCACCTCAAACAGTGGCTTCTAATCTTCTTTGGACACCCGCCGAATAATCTCCTTCAGACACCCTCCGAGAAGAAGAACCTTAATACCCAGCGGGGAATGGGGCAATGCTTACCAAACAGAACAGAGGGCTGCTACTTTGCATGAAAAACACACCCGGAGGGAAGAGCCCGGGGAGCCAGCTCTTCCTGCTCCGGTGCCAGACAGATCTCTCCCGGCGACTGGGCCCAGTACCAGGAACCTCCACGGTCCACACAGTTAACCAGCCACTCAGTCTCTCCGTCGCTCTCTCTCTTTTCTGTCTACAAGCACCCTGACTGCTTTCCCTCTCACAGTCCCACCTCAGTTCAGCCACTCGCATGCACCCTGCACACCAAGCTCAGGTGCTCCCAGTCCCACACACACCCAGACACACACACTTTCTGTCAGTCAAGAGCCCTTTATAGGGGTAGTGCACCCGGCACGCCAGGGCTGTGCACACGGCACGTGGGTGTGCACACAGCACTCTATTCCAGGGTCCTTTGAGGGTGGGTCAGATAAAGGTTATCTGTTGACCTAATTAACATAAACTAAATGAGCCAAGCCCCAATTTCCACCATTACAACGTGACCCCAACCAGGTGCTTGTCCGCTCTCCTGTTAAAGCCCTCCAGCGTAGGGGAGAGCGCCATCTCCTTTGGGAGCCCATTTCAGATTCTGTTTACCCTTACCGTAAAGAAGTTCAGAGTATCTCCTATTTCTTGCCCCCAGATGAATTGGTAGATGGCCACAGGATCACCTCTCAGCCTTGTCTGGGGCAGGCTGAGGAGATCCAGGTCCCTCAATCTCTCCTCATAGGATCTTACCTGCAGGCCCCTAACCATACAAGTAGCCCTCCTCTGGAGCCTCTCAGTGATATCCCCAGCCCTCTTGAAGTGTGGCATCCAAAACTGGACGCAGTATTCCAGCTGTGCCCTTACAACGGCGCATAGAAGGGCAGCATCACCTCCCTAGACCTATTCGTGATGCACCTGCTAATGCACGATAGAGTGAGGTTAGCTTTACTTATCACGTCATTGCGCTGACAACTCAAGTTCATTTGGGAGTTGACTATGACTCGGAGATCCCGTTCTGCTGCTGTGCTGCTTAGAAAGTCATCTCCCAGTTTGTGAGTGTGACTGATTCTTTCTCCCTAGGTGCAGTACTTTGCACTTGGCTTTATTAAACTGCATCCTATTCTGTCCATGATCCATCTCTGAACAGTTACTTCTTGTGCAATGAGGAGCAGATGCCCCTCCCAAGGGATGGAGGCAGGGACCCAGGCCAGCATGCCCCCCACCATGGAGACCAGAAGCCAGGCAGAGGGCCCCCAGTATGAAGACACCTCCACCCAAACCGGGGCCCTCTGCCTGGCTGAGGTGGGGTGCCAGGCTGACCCCCTGCCGAACTTGGAGGTGAGCACCCAGACCAAGGGGCATCACTGTCTAAAATAGACAAGACAGGGGGAAAGGTCTGATGCTTTTCCTAGTGTTAGCTTATTGAGCATGGGATCTGTGTGAGGAGTGGAGGGGGGGGCTGGTGCCAGGTCCTGGGAAGGGTCTAGCAGGTTGGGAGAAGGATGCATTGAGGTCCAGGACCCCTGGGTTCCTTCCCAGCTCTGGAGGCCTTGGGAGGGAACAGGTGAGTGAAGGGGAAATGACTAGTGTATCTTCAGTAAGTCCCTTGCCCACAACTCCCTCCAGCACCCTGTGTGTCTAGGTGGGGCAGGGCTGGGGCTGGGGCTGGGGCAGGGGCTCCACAGGGAGTTCTCTGTGCTGAGAGCCCTGCCTGTTGTGTATATCCAGACTGTACCCAGGGACCAGATGCAGGCCCTGGCAGCACAGAGGGAGGAAGGGAGTTGGGTCTGGCAGGGCGCCCAGGGCCAGTCCCTGGTACGGAGGCAGTGGTGGAGAGAGGGAAGGCTGGGGCATGGGGTGGTGGAAGTGGCAGGGGTCTGGGGGTTTGGGATGCCTGCGACTTGACCAGTGTCTCTGCGTCCCACCCCCAGTGCTGACACTGCCACAGAGGGAAGGAGGAGAAGGTGGGGAGCAGCGAGGTGAGTGTCCCCCCTGCACTGTAGCAGGCCCCAGACCTGAGGGTCTGCCCCTCCCCCAGCCCACATGATGATCGGGTGCCTCCTGCCTCCAGGCCACTCAGGATGCCCTGTCCTGCCTCTCTGCCAGCACCCTAGTGCCCTGTATGGACCATCTATCTCCCGTATTGGCCCCTCTTTGCCCACCTCTGGGCCCGAGGACCCTGTTGCCAGGGGTTCACCCTGCCACTTGGAAGTCAGAGCTCTGGCCCAGGTCAGGCCTGCTGGGGACAGAAAGCCCCACTGAGCTATGTGTGAGAACCATGTACTGCTCCCTGCTGGGAAGACTCTCCTTTACCCCATGGTTGTTCCTGGTTATGAGCGGAGGGGCCAAGATCCACCCCCATCCCACTCACACAAGTTTCTTCTCATCTGGCCTGCACCCCACTGAGTGTACCCAGACTCTGCCCCTTCTCCCACAGGTTCCAGCTGGCTGGGATCTTCCCCTGCTGTTTTGCCTGCAGAAGGTGAACAGCTGAACTCCTCCCTTCCCCTTCCAGCCCTTTCATCCCCTCTCTCCATCCTCCCCTGCCTGATCCAGGATGGGCCCACAGGATGCCAGCATTGGTGCTTCTGCCTCTCTGAGCATGTAAGTGGTTTCTCATTCCTTGTAGGATTCTGCAGCCTCTTCTTATGTCTCCTTCTCCTGGGCCTGCACGCTTCAACTGAGGGGCCATCATGACCTTAGGGTTTTTTAGGGCTACAAGGAGCCATGCCCTATGAATGCACCCATAAGCCAGGCAGGCTGCAAAGACACCTGAACTATAAGGCAAGGCAGGATGCACAAGTGCGAATAGCAAAGCAAGGGGCATGGTATGAGCCACTGCAGCATTGCTACAGTTTTACACCTGTTCAGCTTTCTGGCTTCTAATGGAGTGCCCTTGGCCTAGATCTGGATAATCGGATCTGGACTGGACAGTCCAGCCCACTGCCATCAGACTGATGGCAAGATTTTTAAAAGGGCTTAAGCTTGACATATCCTACTTTGATCTTTCTGAGTGAAACAATTCAGTGCTCGGGTTGAAATGACTCTTCATTCAGGATTTGTAGTTTGAATTCTAATTTTTGTTTTCATTTTAGCTTTGTTTTTTTCTCCCCAAATTCCTCTTGAGGCCGTTTAAAGCTACTTGGAATGGGTCACAAGTGTCTCTGGAAAAGCAGGCACTGTTTTGAACTGCTTCACAGTGCACCAGTGTTACTTATGGTCAATGCTATATGACGGTCATACTCCACATCCAGCTGGAAACTCCGTGTTCCCTGGAAATACTGCTGTCGTGGAAACACACGCAGCATACTTTTGGGTCAGGTCAGCAGAAGCTTTTATTCAAAAGAAACTACAGCTGTAGTTTCCCCCAGGGGGGGATTCCAAAGTGACATGGATTTCCCAAGCACTTGGAAGGGGTCCCCCCCCAAGAGCAAAATCAGGAGGCTTATATACTTTTTAACAGTTGCTTACAACTCACGTGATCATATAGTGAAATTAGCATGAAAAGCGGCTATAATATTACTTCATTATTTTTTTGCTGTGATCAGGATGGGAACTAATGGGGGAGGCGAGGTTAGTTCACAAACCTCCTTCTTGCACCTGCAAATCAGAGTTGTACATACTTTTTGCTATCTTCAAGGCCGCGGTGAGTGAAGCAGTTGCAGAGGAGTTACAAAGAACAAACACTTTCTCTTATCTGTTCTACTATACAGAGCCAGCAATTCTCCACAAAGCGGTTATGTCATCTTATAACTAAAATAATCAAAGTTTAAGGCATATATTTTTTCCTGAATCCACATGACCAAGGTCCCGATTAGATGGGGACCAAAAAGCTCTTATTGAAATCAAAGGAGTTTTCTGTTTTGAGCCACAAGGAGGTAGCAGCTTCAGACTGGAGAGCAGGGTCATTGCTCCTCCTGGAAGACTGCAAAAGAGCAAAGCTTCATGGTGATGCTGGGATAACCCCCATGCAGGGATCCCTCTCACTGCAAGCAGCACCCCCAGCCTGCTTCCCAGCATCTGTGCACATCTGTGGAGCATACCAAGCCGGGGTAAATTATGACCGGATGCACTACTGCCACGTGGAACCAACAGTACAACAGAAACTGCCTCACTTCCCAAATGAGGCACCTCAATGGCAGATGTCTTTTGAGCAGTGTGTGGTCATGGGAGCTCATACTCAACTGCTCATTTATCACTTCTCTGAAATCTTTTTTGACAGTCATTGCTTCCCAGCAAGCCAGCCCGAGGAGATGAATTGTTGGTGGCTTGAAGTTTCCTTTGGAACAGGCATATTCAGGTCAGATTATTCACCTGAGCCTACATTCCCAAGACACCGACACTGCACCCATGTGTTGGCCTGTGCTCTTCACTCTTGCCTGCATTGCTAGACTTTGTGGCATATGCAAATAGCATCCTTTATGAGCAGTGTTTCATTCCAAAGCCCTGAAAGCCCAGGTCAGTCCCTTTGAGGCTAACCA